CCTGGCAGAGGCTGTTTTTTGAAGGCAGCACAGAGAGCAACTCCCAAAAATAATCAGTATCCAAAATGAAAATTTATTTGTTTTCCTTTACAGCACAGCGAGGGGCTTGGCCATGAAATGAAGGGGGGTACGGGGTAGCCCCTGCCACCACAGGGCCAGGGACCGACAGGGCTGTCGTCATGCCAGGGCAGGGGCAGAGACCAGCCAGCGCCTCTTCTGGGGGACAACACGGTGACAAGGTCAGGGTCAGATGAAAACAGATGCAGGGGTAGATACATCCCCATTTGAGGGTGTAGTTACCACCTGCAACACCTTGGCTGGACACCAGCCCCAGCTCAGTGGGGTGATGCAGGGGGGCACAGGCCAGTCCCAGGGCCAGCCCCCTCCCAGGGACCCCATGGGGACAGCGTGGGAGAGGTAGAGTACATGCCTGCAAGAGTTTAATCAAGACATCTCTGTGCCACTGCCGGATCAGCAGCCCTGATTGGTCCCATGCCGCTTTATCTCATGCTGGCATCGGCCAAACAGACCAAGCAGCTTCCCCCCTGCCCCGCTTCAAGAAACACCCCAAATCTCTATGTACAGACTCAGCGTGCCACGTCAGTACAAAAATATACACAAAAACTCTACAGATCCCAGCTCAGTAGATCAAAACTCAGTTATAAATCACAGTGCACAGGACAGCATCAGGCCCAGGGAGTGATGGGGTTCCCCCACGAGCTCGGCACGCCACAGGCGCACCCCAGCATGGTGTGGGGGCACATCATCCTCCTGCCTCGTGGAGTCATTTCTCATCCAGCTTGCAGAACAGGTACATGGAAACTGCCATGGCTGCAATCTGGGGTGAAAAGACTCAAGTCAGCTCCCCAAGTGCCCCCCCCCACCCCAGCCCCAGCATGGGCTTGGGTCACAGCCCGTTGCACCCATCCCCAGCGCAGACAAGGAAGAAGAGATGGATGTGCTCAGGGAAGAAGGCTCGGTAGCCACCCTGGGGCAGACAGTGGTCCATTGGGCTGCCCCAGTTCCCTGCAGCCCCTCAGCCACCCAGGTTGGCCTCAGCCCCACCGCTTACCTCCTGGCACAGCAACGCTCAGGGACTCACCTCCAAGGCAGCAATACCGGCTGCCACGCCGCCCACCACACCTGCGTTACTCCTGATATCTTGCACGATCTTACTGAAACAACCCTGCAGGAGGCAACCAAGTAGGTGAGGACAAGCAAGGGGTAGCGATCCCCTAACTGCTGGGGCACAGCATCCCTGGAAAGGGAGGTGCAGTTCTCTATGGAGCAGGTCTGGGGGCTTCAGGTGACAAAGCATCTCAGACACTTCTCAGGCCAAAGCACAGTATTGAGGGGAGAAGAAGGGGAAGAGGCAGGAAGATCACACAAAAAGGCAGAGTGGTACCTTGGTTCATGCTCAGCTCCAGTCACACAGAGCTCCCATTATAGCCAGAGCAATGGCAGCAGCTTGGCTTGTCTTCACCAAGGCCACCCCAGAACCCCCCAGGATTTAAAGCCCATGGGACCACCATGTCCAGAGCTGGAGCTTCTCATACCAAGGCACACCCCAAACCAGGCTCTGCCAGAAGGCAAGAGCCGCTGGTGCATCCATACCGGGACGGCATCTTGGATAGCAGCTTCTTCACCACAGGGCACCTGGTTATTACAGCAGGGCTCCGGGTAGGTTTTATTTTTATCATTCCAGGGCGAGCCAGTGAAGTCTGTGTAGTTATTCAGGCCACAGCAATGAGCCTAAGAGGGAGAGAGAAGAAGGGATGGAGAGTGCATCCTGCAAGATTCCCTCCCGGGTCAGACATGGTCCCCATGGAGGGGGTCACCCAGCTCAGTCCAGTTCTGGGGGCATGTTCAAGGGCCTTCTTGGGACCAGGATTTTGCCCCACGCTCCAGCACACACAGCTCTTATCCCAGCCACAGGACTGCTAGATCCCAAGTGGGTAGGTCCCAGGCACCTGGGAAGCTGATGGGGTGGTGAGAGCTCAGCACATCCAGGACCATGATGATGTCCCCATTCCCATCCCAGTGGCCCACTCAGGTGTGCACCACCAAGGCTGTGCTGGAGCGTCCTGACCCACAGGTGGGAGCCCCAGGGGTCAGCGCACCTCCTTCATGGTGACATCCCAGATCTGTGTGAGAGCCTGGTCCGCCCCGTACTTCTGCTTCAGAAGAGGGGTCACTACAGCCGTCAGCAGCGACTCTGCCTGGAAGGAAGCAGAGAAACACCATCAGAGAAAGTCTTGGTGAGCACCACAGAGCCAAGAACCTCCATACTGGTCTCAGGCCATGGGGAGGAGGCCAACCAGACCCACCATGGCCAGGAGCACATCACACTGTGTCCCTTTGACCCAAGGACAGCTTGGCCCCTTCCCCACTAACTCGTGCTTTATGGCACCAAGGCTGCTTATGACCAGTGAGTCATCTGATAAGCAGCATAACCGAGGGAGCCAGGAATGACGTTTGCCCTGCGGTTGACTTCTCCGGTGCCTAATGAGGCAAAGTCACCTTTCTCCCCAGGTGGTTTCTCAGATGCCTAATAAAGGGCTGAGTTTGCTCAGCATAAAGCATTAGGGACTTCCTCTCCCATGACGCTCCTACCGTCAGAGGTGGAGAAGTGTCAAGGCTAGGCTAGTACTGGACTAAGGGATTTGAAAGAAAGAAGTGGGCAAAACTGGTACCAAACCCTCATTTATTTAGGGCAATGGGAATCCCTGTTCCCACCACCCTCACCCCGGCCAGGCCACCCCAGCTGGTGCCAGCAGGGACCAGCATCCCTTCCTCCTGCAGCAGTGCCCACCTCTCAGCTTCCCCATCCATGGGCAGCACTGCCAGCCCCCTGAAGTCCCAAGGGGTTGGACAGGTCCCAGATTAGCCAAACCCAAGACTCAGATATGCTACTCACAAGACCTGTGTAGACCAGAGCCACCACGGCAACAGCAATTTCGGCAATCAAGATGATTAGCACCACCGTGAAGAACTAGGACACAGGAAGGGGAGGAAGGTCAAAGCAACAGCCAGAGTCCAGAGGGCCCCCCAGGAACCCATCTGCTTCACAAGGGCCAGCAGCACCCTCCCTCAGGCCTCAAGCCCTGTCTCATTGCCTTGAACTCTTCTTCAAGGCAGAAGCAGAACAATCTCGGGGTCCTCCAACCCTCCCTCTGCATGGGGCTGACCTCTCTGGACATGCTCCAAGAGAGACCTCTGCTCAGCATCAGTTTCTGCTTCTCTTCACCTTTGCCCAGGGCAGACTTTGGGTCCAACATTGCCTTCTACTACATGGGAACACCCAAGGAGGACACCTCTACAGAGAAATCTGTCCCTCAGACCTCCCCCACCAGAGAGACAGGTCAAATGATGCTTGATAAGGAGCTAAGTCAGGTCCATACCATCATCAGGAGACACTTGCTGTCCCTCATGGCGCCGTAGCACCCAAGGAAGCCAAGCACCAGCAGGATGGCACCGATGACGATGAGGACGTAGCTCACATTCAGAACCTGCAGGACGCTAGAGGAGAGCGTCCCAAATATCTCCAGGAATGACTTTGCATCCACTGTGACCCAGATGCCAACTCCCAGGAGGGCTGCGCCACCGAGCTGGGAGGAAAAAGACAACGTCAACTCACAGGCAGGCAGAGATCTGGGATTTGGGGTAGGTCCTGGTGCAGGTATTTCTCCCCTCTGCACGTTTTCACCATACCAAAACAAGACTTTGTGGCCACTGAGGGCAGCTCAGGGTGTTGTCACCACACACTTGGGATGGCTGGATGGGTCACTACCCAGAAACACACCCCACCACCAGCACGTCCCCAGCTGTGGTGTCACAGCTGCCCCTTCCCCTGCCCAAGGGGTTTTAGTGCCAGCAGCAGTATTTCTCCCCTCTGCACGTTTTCACCATACCAAAACAAGACTTTGTGGCCACTGAGGGCAGCTCAGGGTGTTGTCACCACACACTTGGGATGGCTGGATGGGTCACTACCCAGAAACACACCCCACCACCAGCACGTCCCCAGCTGTGGTGTCACAGCTGCCCCTTCCCCTGCCCAAGGGGTTTTAGTGCCAGCAGCAGGGCGGAACCCCCCATGCAGGACAGCCAAGCCAGCAGTGCCACCAGCTACCCCTGACCCCAGAGGGGCCCACATGGCCAGCTCAGACACTGGCCACCATCATCCTGCCACAAGTTCCTCCATCCAAGGAAGCTTTTTAGTGCCAGCAGCAGGGCGGAACCCCCCATGCAGGACAGCCAAGCCAGCAGTGCCACCAGCTACCCCTGACCCCAGAGGGGCCCACATGGCCAGCTCAGACACTGGCCACCATCATCCTGCCACAAGTTCCTCCATCCAAGGAAGCTGCCTGCTCACCTCGGGGAGCAGCTGCACA